TTCCTTTACACGGATCAGTCGTCCTGGTCCCTTTGCAGAAAAACAGCCCCAAAGCATGATGTTTCCACCCCCATGCTTCACAGTAGGTATGGTGATCTTTGGATGCAACTCTGCATTCTTTGTCCTCCAAACACAACGAGTTGAGTTTTTACCAAAAAGTTATATTTTGGTTTCATCTGACCATTTGACATTCTCCCAATCCTCTTCTGGATCATCTAAATGCACTCTAGCAAACTTCAGACGGGCCTGGACATGTACTGGCTTAAGCAGGGGGACACGTCTGGCACTGCAGGATTTGAGTACCTGGCGGCGTAGTGTGTTACTGATGGTAGGCTTTGTTACTTTGGTCCCAGCTCTCTGCAGGTCATTCACTAGGTCCCCCCGTGTGGTTCTGGGGTTTTTGCTCACCGTTCTTGTGATCATTTTGACCCCACGGGGTGAGATCTTGCGTGGAGCCCCAGATCGAGGGAGATTATCAGTGGTCTTGTATGTCTTCCATTTCCTAATAATTGCTCCCACAGTTGATTTCTTCAAACCAAGCTGCTTCCCTATTGCAGATTCAGTCTTCCCAGCCTGGTGCAGGTCTACAATTTTGTTTCTGGTGTCCTTTGACAGCTCTTTGGTCTTGGCCATAGTGGAGTTTGGAGTTTGACTGTTTGAGGTTGTGGACAGGTGTCTTTTATACTGATAACAAGTTCAAACAGGTGCCATTAATACAGGTAACAAGTGGAGGACAGAGGAGCCTCTTAAAGAAGAAGTTACAGGTCTGTGAGAGCCAGAAATCTTGCTTGTTTGTAGGTGACCAAATACTTATTTTCCACCATAATTTGCAAATAAATTCCTAAAAAATCCTACAATTAGATTTTCTTGATTTGTTTTTTTCAATTTGTCTGTCATAGTTGACGTGTACCTATGATGAAAATTACAGGCCTCTCTCATCTTTTGAAGTGGGAGAACTTGCACAATTGGTGGCTGACTAAATACTTTTTTCCCCCATTGTATATATAAAAAACACTTCATTATAAGGGAGGCTTAGGGAGCAATTGTCAGTGTATTGTTAAATGTCTAAACACTCCCAACTTTTTCAACACTGTGTGTATGTTTCTAAATATTTCCTGATATTGTTCATAAAAGTTATACTCAAAGGACAGACAAATGGTTGATAACCATATAAGCCTTCATAGAAATAGTGTTTATTCCACTAGCTTTTGCCAGAATGGACAACCATAAATTGCCAAACGCTCTACTCAAAGATTTAACTTTTAAGAGCATATTTAATGATTTGTCCTTTCATGCATCTCTGTCTGTTTGCATGCCGAGCCTCTCAAGCTTCCTACCACCTATTATAATCATAAACAACATTTTTAAAATACTGCAGGATTTAATTGACTAATCAAATCAAGATACTTCAGTGAGAGGAGTCTATAGCATATGGCCAAGAAATCCAGTCAGTACGCTCTGCTCAGCTCATCCTTTAATGGAGGGTTTGGAGGAATTCTAAAAAGACACACTGGCCTAATGCTTAATAGACATGGTGCATCAAAGATTAATATCCAGAATGCTATTAAAACTCAAGGACAGCCTTGAATGATAATTAGAAAATGCAATCACAGGAATCAGACCAGATTAATTGCCAGTCAATGTTTCCCGATTTCGGGATTCTGCGCCTGCCTTGCCGCCTGTCATACTCATGGCAAAGCCTGGGCATGTAGTGAAGTGATAACTGCACATCATCATCAGCTTATGGCTTACTGGCACCCCACGACTTCCCCCAATCGTCATGGCTTCATTCTGTATCTTCTATCGGGTGGTAGGGAGAGCGACACACACAGTTGATATCACATTTTCTTGGTTCATACAGTACATGTTGTTGAGCGTACTGTATGTTTTGTGAAAATGATTACTTTGTCCTCATGTAGTGCACCTTTTTATTAAATTAGGGATCGTTTTATGTTCTTGTGCTTTAACGAGGTTAAACATCTGGGAAACCGCTAGACCGGGTCTTGCTGACTCAAAATTAACTTTAATGGTCTAGTTCCATTTTATATTTTGAAGGCTTGACCTCGGATGACAGCTGAGACCATACCAGTTTTTCCAATCACAACTGTCTCGCTCTGATACTGTCCTAACCTTTTAACATTTGGATAAAAGCCATAACCTGCCTGTATGAGAGTAATTTTTTGATTCAGTATAGACATTAACCTTAATGACATGAATTACATTCCACAGTGCTCTTTAAGACTGGATGGAATGAATAATGTTTCATTTTGGGATCTCATTAGCTGAATTATTTGATTTGCATTCATGGGATAATATTAATTTACATGTGGCGGTGCTTCAGTTTCATCAATGGAACCTTACCAATTTGGTTACAGACAAAAACAAGGTCCTTTGTTCATTCAAATCAAATGCCTTCATTGACATTATATATATTTTTTTGATTGTTGAACAAAAGCAGAGAAATGATCAAATATGGTCCTTGCTTGTTCAAGGCCCCTCGTGAGTTACAAAATGAATGCTTGTCAGGATGGCGCTGGCACTATGGCCTTTCCACCAGCTTCACACTAAATGGGCTCTTTTAGAAAAGGAGGACAAGATTTATTAGGATGAACTTCCCAAAGCCCATAAATTATGCATGCATCCGCAAGTAACCTATCAAGGCTGGCCCTGGTGGGCTGGCCCCTTCATCTAGGTACCATAGACTGGTTAGCTGACAACATCACAAAAACGATGTGCGCGCGTCGATGGGGCAGAGGTCCGTGTTTTTTATGATTCTGGGCAGTCAGATAGCTAACAACAATGACAAGACGCTGCCATGTGGCGAATCGTAGGTGGCTCGTTTCAGCTCATTGTATCTTGTTATGATACCATGTCTTGTTTTGAGGTGTTTTGACAACTGTAACAATGTATTTGAGAGACAACAAGTGCTCACTGGGGAAATGTATTTATGTTTTCAATAAAGATTTGGAGAGGAAATATAGTTTACATGTTGTCGACACTCCTTTGAGTGTAAGCCTACCCAGCCTGTTTGCTACACGGTTGCGCACACATCGGTTTTGTTGCTAAACAACCCACTGTCTACATAGCACGTGCCATGGAGTCAATAATACAATGGCTATGTTTAGAAGCCAAGGTTTGGCTGCCAGCAAGCCCAGTAGATACAGCTTTGTCAGTGGTCAGTCACCATTTATCAATACACAGGAAGATGGCTAGCTTAAGCTGAACATGAAGCAGGCTAGGAAAATGGTGGTTTAGTTAGCTAGCTAGCTAAGTAGCTAGTAAGCTAGCTAGCTCCCTTCCATTTCATTCTAGGTTGGCGCTATTTTAATTTACTTTGTCAATACCTATTGTTTCAGCAGCAACAAATAAATAAGAAGCTGTTACTGGACTGTATTACTTAATATTACTCTATTTCTAATCAGATCTAAAAAAAACAATTGATCAATGTATTACATTGTAATGTTTTATTGTAAGGGAAACGAAAATAGGCTCAGCAGTGTGTTGCAGTAGGCCTTTGTAGAATAATACAAAACATATCCTTGAATCTATCCAAAAACAAATTACTCTTGTTTTTATACATTTTCATGGATATATTTTCACAAATATGTATTTATGCAATTCATCCTTTACAATTGTTTATGCACTATTTATCAAGTGTTGGTGCTTATGTTTATGGCAAATCATTTGACCTGCACGCCTTGCGGGTTAATATTATTCTGGACTGCATTACTTACTGGACTGTATTACTTACTATAACTCTATTACCATTGAAATCTACAAATCAAATTGATCTAATGTGTTACAAGTTTGGCTGCCAGCAAGTTTGAGCTAGCTTACCAGAGCCAATCCTAGGTAAAATGTTTGAGATGCCGATTGGAACTATAATTCCTTTACTAAAAGCTCTATTCAGTCTGTATTGCTGAAGCACTACAGATTGCGCTATAGAAATATTAAAGGTAATTTCAGATTTAGCCAACATATGCAGCATTTACCGTGAATGCAGTCTCCACCAACGCTGGAACATTGCCTTTAAATTTAGCTAACTTACATTTTGTAACGCTGGACTTCCGCGATATGGATTGAATAGAGCCCAAGAGAATCAATTAACGCATTTAAGGAAGTTTCAAATTCCATATAATTCATAATTGTCCCCCATTATGAAATAGGGGAGGGGCATGTGGATCTGTCTCCGTTTGTCCGTCCGTTCGTACATTAGTCACGCTATATCTCAGACAGCACTGGCTGATTTTGATGAAGCTTGGGTGAATGATGAGGCTTGCTATAGAGATCTGGAATTTACAAAATTACACTGATTGGGCCAAGGCAGGAGCTATAGTAATTAACTGAAATTTGTTAGTGACACACAATCTCAATTGGCCCAAGAGGGGGGCGCTACATAATTCGTGGGGGACGACATGTTTACTGTTGCCTTGTTTTTTCTCTAGGAAGATAAAACAGTAGCAATGTAAAACACTGGCAACACTAAACAGCTTTGAAGCATATTATCTCTTGATACAGATGTAAGATCTTAATTTGAGCCAATTTGCTAGACCAGGAAAATTATCCTGCAGCAACAAATGTGACTTATTATGTGGATTATAATTAATGTACATTTTTGAGAGTCTGTAATTTCAAAGTGGAAATTACAAACTTCAGAAGCCTTTTTAAACCTCACATTTTTTATTTCATGCATTGCAGGAAAGTTCTCCTGCAATGGGTGATCAAATTAAGATCCTACATCTGTATTAGACACAATCAGACGATATGACCTTTGGGGGGATATTGAAACCAAATATGTCTGCCTGAAGTCAATATCCTGCTTGTGTTATCTCTCTGATTCATCCATGTTCTTCTTCTTCACAGGGATCAATAAGGGATCAAAGGGAAGAGGACTACAATGCCTGATTTGGTTACATTTCATTCCAGCGTGCATCCTACCAGAAGCTCATTACCATAACTCATTAGACATACAGAACTATTTCCCCGTGTGATTGGATACCATGATAACCAATCACTTCCTGGGTCTACTGATGCTCTCCATCCTGCAGCCAATCAATGCCCTGCCTGTGGCACCTGGAAATACTGTGAATCTCTTGGGAACATTGCCGGAGAAGGATGATGGAAGGATACTCCAGCGCTCCAAACGAGGATGGATGTGGAATCAATTCTTTCTTCTGGAGGAGTACACAGGGAATGACAACCAGTATGTTGGCAAGGTAAGGGTTTTGTGCACCGTTTTTATGGGGCATTCTTTGTATGCTGCCTTGAGATGATCGATTATGTCAAAGTACACTCAGTCAAAAGGACTGTTCCTGTTGGACGTGCCATAACTTTCAATAGTTTCTGAAAATGTGTACATAAATAGAGAGGAGTGCACCAAATGAGAACTCCCTTAATGTAGGTATTAGCTTGTTAGGCCAATGATCATATGTGAAGGGAATGGGCTCCTATATCCCAGCAACAGGCAACTAATTCCAGCCATCCTTCCCTCATTCACACCACAATTCAAAAACAACAAAGTTGGTTATAAATGAGTTCAAAAATTAATAATCAGTCACTCAAATTAGAGATTTAACATGACACAGAGAGGAGGAATAGATGTTCCATATACGACAGACAACTTAACCAAATCAAGTCATGAGGGCGGACATAACGGCTAGACAAAATCACTGACCCAGTCCCTCACATCGCCAAGGGCCTGAGAGCCTCCTCTATCATGATGATACAGCTATTCAACTGACAGAGGCCTGTTTTAGCCAGTCAGGGACCAGATAAGAACACATAAAAGTTGAAATATTTCTCAGAGCTATAACCCTCCACTTTAGATCAAAGGAGTGACGTGTCAAGCCACCAGTGTTAGTGCTAACACAGAGACAGCTAGTCGCAGTGTTAGAGACAACGCTACAGTTATCATCCTGAGGGAGGGGAACGAGGTGACTGTCGACAGCCAATTTTCTCAGAGGAAGCTGGCTTTCATCACCTGCCTCATCCTCAGGAGTAAACAAGTGTCACTGTACAGGGTGGAGTACAGTCTGATGTAGGAGGATATGACTACCAGCTTGGCAGATAGCATCGTCCTGACGCGTTGGAGACAGGGGAACAACAAGAAGACAAAGATGGAGAGAAGAGGGAAGAAGGGAAAGGGGGTGATGGAGAGAAAAATAATGAATCAATCAAGTCAGACCAATGACAATGGTAGAGCATGGCGCTTCCAGCGCCAGGGTTGTGGGATCGATTCCCATGGGGGGCCAGTATGAAAAATGTATGCACTCACTAACTGTAAGTCACTCTGGATAAGAGCGTCTGCTAAATGACTCAAATGTAAATGTAAAAATGCAACAAAACAGGCCCTCCACTGATGTTGTAAGTTACTGCTGAATTCTGGCTTACTTCCTGACTCTGATGGTCTCTGGCTGGTACACTGGCAAGTTTCCTGGCATGACAGCAATCACATGCGCTGGCTCTTGACTCACCCGATGTCCAATATCATTCACAATTAAACTGTCAGAATGTCATGAGGCCTCAATAAATAAAGTGGGTGAGAAAACAAAGCCCACACACGCTGGCTTTACTGTTGAAGCTAGTGGTGATCACTATCTCTAATTCCATCAGCATCACTCTGGAGTTGGTGTCTGTGATGAGGAGTGGTGAAAAGACTGGGCCGATGGACTGGCACTTAAAGGCCCAGCGCCAAGCCATCATGTCTTTCTCATGAAGATAATTTTATGGCATTTACAGTGTACTGTGGGAGGGCTTATTTATTTCACATGCAATCAAGTCCCCCATCCACCACCCCCTCCCTAAACACACTCACAGCTACAGTATCTTCCTCCTCTCCACTGGTGTAGTGGAAAGCCCCGCAGCACCTGCAAGGTGGGTGGGCCCAGGAGCTCTGTCTAAATTGTCATATTTTTTGTGATGAGGTGGTGTTCAAGGAGTCAGGCGCAGGAGGGTAAATCATAGAATAACAGGCTTTAATCCGCAAAATACAGGTTTACGCATAAATGCGTCAAACACACTCCAAGGCACAAAACAGGCGCACTGGAAAATACAAGGTACATGGGAAAATACTTCTGTCGATACACAATACACGAGCTCCACCGAGCTTCACTAACCTCCACAATAAACAGTCACCCACACAGACAAGGAAGCAGAGGGAACACTTATACCATGACTAATGAAGGAATAAGGACCAGGTGTGTGTGATTGAAGACAAGACAAATGAAGTGATGATAAATGGATCGGCAGTAGCTAGTAAGCCTGTGACGCCGAACGCCGCAACCTGCCCAAACAAGGAGGGGAGGCAGCCTCGACAGAAGTCGTGACAGTACACCCCCCTTGACGCGTGGCTCCAGCAGTGCGCCAACCCCGGCCTCGGGTACAACGAGGAAGACGCGGAGCAGGGCGAGCCAAATGGCGACGGTGGAAATCCCGTAACACGGAGGGATCAAGAATATCCCTCACCGGGACCCAGCACCGTTCCTCCGGACCGTAACCCTCCCACTCCACGAGGTACTGAAGGCCCCCCACCCGACGCCTCGAATCCGGGATGGAACGAACAGAGTACGCCGGGGCCCCCCTCGATGTCCAGAGGAGGTGAAGGGACCTCCCGCACCTCAGCCTCCTGGAGCGGCCAGCTACCACCGGCCTGAGGAGAGACACATGAAACAAGGTGTTAATGCGGTAATCAGGGGGAAGTAATAATCTATAAGTAACCACGTTGACTCTCCTCAGGACTTTGAACGGCACCACAAACTGCGGGCTCAGCTTCCGGCAGGGCAGGCGGAGGGGCAGATTCCGGGTCGAGAGCCAGACGCGATCCCCCGGTAAAAAGACAGGGGCCTCACTGCGGTGACGGTCAGCATTGGCCTTCTGACGATGCACGGCGCGTTGGAGGTGAACGTGGGCAGCATCCCACATCTCCTCCATGTGCCGAAACCAGTCATCCACCGCAGGAGCCTCGGTCTGGCTCTGGTGCAACGGTGCCAGAACCAGTTGGTAACCTAGAATACACTGGAAAGGCATTAGGTTAGTGGAGGAGTGGCGGAGAGAGTTCTGGGCATATTCTGCCCATGGCAAGAACACCGACCACTCCCCTGGCCGGTCCTGGCAGTAGGACCGCAGGAACCTACCCACGTCCTGATTTACCCGTTCCACCTGCCCATTACTCTCGGGGTGGAACCCAGAGGACAGGCTGACCGAGACCCCCAGATGTTCCATGAACGCCTTCCAGACCTTGGATGTGAACTGGGGACCTCGGTCAGACACTATATCCTCTGGTACCCCGTAGTGGCAGAAGATGTGTGTAAAACAGGGCCTCCGCAGTTTGCAGAGCCGTGGGGAGACCGGGCAGAGGTAGGAGGCAGCAGGCATTAGAAAAGTGGTCCACAACGAACAGGATGGTGGTGTCACCTTGGAAGAGGGGAAGATCAGTTAGAAAATCAACACTTAGGTGAGACCATGGTCGTTGTGGAACTGGTAAAGGTTGTAACTTACCAGCTGGGAGGTGCCTAGGTGCCTTACTCTGGGCGCACAATGAGCAGGAGGAGACATACACCCTCACGTCCTTAGCCAAGGTAGGCCACCAGTATTTTCCGGTCAGGCAGCGCACTGTATGGCTGATACCTGGGTGACCAGAGGAGGGTGCCCAGTAGATCAGACGATCACAGATAAGAGCAGGCACGTACTGCAGCCCATCTGGACACTGAGGTGGAGAGGGATCCGTGCGTAATGCCTGATCTATATCCGCGTCCATCGCCCATACTACCGGCACTACAATGCAAGAGGCCGGCAGTATGGGAGTGTTGTTGCTGGACCTCTCCTCTGTGTCATACAGCCGGGACTGCGCGTCTGCCTTCACGTTCTTCGTACCCGGGATGTATGATAGAGTGAAATCATACCGGGTGAAGAATAGGGCCCACCTGGCCTGGCAAGGATTCTGCCTCCTCACTGCCCGGATGTACTCCAGGTTATTGTGGTCTGTCCAGACGAGGAAAGGGTGTTTTGCCCCCTCGAGCCAATGCCTCCACACGGTCAAGGCTCGGACAACAGCCAATAGCTCTGGATAACCTCCGATAGTAGTTGGCAAAGCCAAGGAAGTGCTGCACCTCCTTAACCGTGGTTGGAGTCGGCCAATTACGCACGGCTCAAATGCGATCTCCGTCCATCTCCACACCTGAGGTGGAAATGCGGTATCCGAGGAAGGAGACGGACTGCTGGAAAAACAAACACTTCTCTGCCTTAGCATAAAGGCCATTTTCCAACAGTCGGGCCAGCACCTTGCGAACCAGGGACACATGCTCGGCGCGCGTAGCGGTATACACCAGGATGTCATCGATGTAGACCACTACACCGTGACCAAGCATGTCCTGAAACACCTCGTTCACAAAGGACTGGAAAACGGAGGGAGCATTCATCAAACCATAGGGCATCACCAGGTATTCATAATGCCCCGTGGTTGTGCTGAATGCTGTCTTCCACTCATCTCCCTCTCGGATACGCACCAGGTTGTACGCACTCCTGAGATCTAATTTGGTGAAGAAACGCGCCCCATGCATTGATTCAATCACTGAAGGAATGAGGGGGAGAGGATAACTAAATCTTATCGTCTCCCTGTTCGGTGGTAGATAATCAAGGTACAGCGTCTACCCAGAGGTTTATCGTGCAATCCCCCACCCGATGAGGTGGTAATTTAGTAGCCTGCGTTTTAGAGAACGCTTGCGCCAGATCGAGGTATTCAGGGGGAATGCGCACGGTGGAGGTACTGTCTGGACTTTCCACGGTGGTTGCACCAACGGAAACACCTAGACACCTACCCTGACACTCTCGCGACCACCCCGTGAGAACCCTCTGCGGCCATGAGAAGGTGGGGTTGTGGAGTGCTAGCCAAGGGATACCTAATACCACAGGGAAAGCAGGAGACTCAATCATGGAAAAAGTAACCTGCTCACAATGAGTCTCCTGGTTAATCATGGTGACTGGTGCAGTAACTTCCTTAACCAACCCGTACTTAATGGTCGACTATCAAGTGCTCTGACGGGGCGTGGAATGGATAGGGGAATCAATGGAATGCCTATACGGTGTGTGAATGCCCTGTCCATAAAGTTCCCAGCTGCGCCTGAATCGACTAGCGCCGTACACTGGGGAACTACCATGTGCTCAGGATAGGAGACAAGTAATTTACAGTGCGCAGCAGAGGGCTCTGAACGAGTGTGGGTGATGCAAGAGTGCCCTGCCTGCCGCCTCCAAACCCAGAAGAGCGTTGACGACAACGTGTGGTGAAATGTCCCTTCGCACCACCAGTGTGGCACTGGCGCTGTCGTCCTCCGCTCTCTCGACTAGCGGTTCCACCCATCTCCATCGGTTCTTAATCCGAGTCGGCCGGGATGGAAACGGGCAGACCTCCTCCAGGACGTCCTCTGGTTGCCAGCAGGTTGTCCAAATGAATGACCATGTCCACCAGTTGTGAGAAGGACAACATGGTGTCAGGGCAGGCTAGCTCCCGTCGGATGTCCTCTCGCAGATGGCACCGGAACTGCTCGATCAGGGCCCGCTCGTTCCACCTGGACCCAGTGGCCAGAGTTCGAAACTCCAATACGAAGTCCTGCGCAGTCCCCGTCCCCTGCCTCAGGTGGTCCAGCTGCTCGCCCGCCTCTCGACCCTCGGGCGGGTGATCGAAGACCGCCCAGAAGAGGCGAGCGAACTCCCCGTAGTTCTCCAACGCGGCTCCTCCTTTGTTCCACACCACGTTGGCCCACTCAAGGGCTTTCCCCGAGAGGCAGGAGACAAGGGCGGACACCTTCTCCCGCTCCGATGGAACCGGCCGGATGCTGGAGAAGCAGAGCTCCAGTTGGAGAAGGAATCCTTGGCACAGCGCCGCTGTCCTGTCAAACTCCCCTGGTTGGGATATATGGATCCCTCCGGGTGCTGGGGTGTAGGTGGCGGGATCCGGTTGACCAGCTGGTCTCGACAGATCGGGCTCTCTCCTCTCCAGGCGTTGGATGACCTGAAGAACCCGACCCATCACTTCACCCAAGCTGGC